ATCCTGAACGACTACTGGTCTAGATCCTTTTCGTACTAACACAGGTGTCCCTTAGGGTTATACCCTTGGTCTTCCTTTGTTTTTAATTTTCATTAACAAATTTCCCATTGGCATCAGCTCTTAATCTGGTATATATGCTGATGACACAGCCATTTACTCCTGTCTTGATAATAAGTCCGATAAGGTCATATTGTTTTTAAGTGGGACAACAGATGGCTTGTTAATTTTAACATCCCCCAAATTAAAGTGCTCTCTATTAATCACCTGAGAGATCAATTTCTGCCTTCCATTAGCATGGCTGATGCTAACCTCCAGGAGAGTGACTCATTGGACCTACTCGAGTTAACATTCTTGGCTGACATGAAGTGGAAAAACTACATTGAATCCATTACTAGGTCAGCTGCTAACAAAGTTGGTTCACTGTCATGCTAGACAATTTTCCTCTCCAGAATTTATTTTACATATCTATAAATCTACCATTCACCTAGGCTTAAGAGAATCAGCAACAATATTGATCCTGACCTGGTGTCTCAGTTTCAGTCACATTTTCATTGCCATAAAGTTGCTTCCCTGAGCCTTTTCTATAAATACTTTCATGGTAATTGTTTGTATGAGCTCCTTGCTATAGTACCTAGACATTATGAATTTAAGCGCAGTACTAGATTGGCAACAAGGTCTCATCAATTTAAAATTGAATTGGCTAGATGTAACCGTTGGTTCTATATTGACAATTTCTTTTCTTGCACATCTTGCTTGTGGAACTCTCTTCCAGCTCCATGCTTTCCAGCCAACTTTGATCTTCAAGGATTTAAATGCAATGTCAATCATTATCTACTGTCTTCCTGATTACTCTTCTAATGTTCTCACTTGTTCGTAGTGTTTTCTCTTTCCGATCAATTAGACAAGAGCAAAATGGCAGCTGTCATCCAAAACGACCTACAGTCTGTTGTTAACTGGACCAAAGGATGTCTTTTAATTTTAACCCCTCTAAAACTAAACTTCTATCCTTTTATCATGCGAGAGACTCCTTTCTGCCGTCCATCAATATGGTTTATGAGGAGAATCACTCGTTGTGTCTTCTCGGGTTAACATTCACTGCCGACATGAATTGGAAAGGCCATATTGAATCCATTGCTAGGTCAGCTGCTAAGAAAATCGGTTCACTGTGTCGTGCTAGACAATTTTTATTTCCAAAATCTATCTTTCATATCTATAAGTCTACCATTCGTCCATGCTTTGAATATTGCTGCCACATATGGTCCGGTGCTCCTGCTGTATATCTAGAGATCCTTGATAATATCCAAAGAAGAATCAACGATATTATTGGTCCTGATCTGGCATCTCGGATTCAGTCACTTTCCTACCGCCGTAAAGTTGCCTCCTTGAATATTTTCTATTAATACTTTCCATAGCAACTGTTCGGATGAGGTCTTCGCTAAGATACATAGACTTTATGAATTTAAGCGCAATACTAGACTGGCGACGAAGTCTCGCCAATTTACAGTTGAAATGGCTAGATGTCACCGTAACTTCTATGCTAATAGTCTCTTTTCGTGCACTTCTCGCCCGGTTCCATGCTTTCTAGTCAACCTTAATCTTCAACAATTTAAATGCAAAGTCAATCGCTATCTACTGTCTTCCTGATTACTCTTCTATTGTTCTCGTTCCTTTGAAATATATCTGTTTCTAATTCTTTCACACTCAGTAACCCCTTGTATCTTAGTATCTTAGTGGCTTTACTGCCTTACTTGTGGTGAACTCGATGATATATATATATATATATATATATATATATATATATATATATATATATACTGGCTCGGAAAGAACACAAAGCGCCTTAGCTAGTTTATGACACAAATGCTGGGAACTGACAGTTTATGGTCTTTTGAAGATGTATGTTTCCTAAAGACATAAGTCCACAAGAACGGAAGTATTAAAAATAGCTATTTGAGATTAATTCTTCAAACCTTCTACAGTATAAAACGCTAATTAAACCAAGCCCCATTATGAAAAGCTGTAATAAATTAATTTTGAAAAAATAAACACAACAAAAATAAAAATAAATAATTTATCAGTTTGGTTTTAAAAGTAAAAAAAAAAGGTGAAAGTAAAATTAAATTAATTTAATTTTATGAATGAAATTAAAAAAAAAAGAGTTCTATATTCTATTCACTTATTGTTTTGTAAGAAAGAATGAAAACAAGATTTTAAATAGTTTTTATCTCTCTATTTTGTATATTGGGTGTACCTAATCGAACATCAAATCAGCTTTTATCTGGCGTTCATCGTGTATAGCTTATTTATTGACTCCTAATCCTAAGGTGTGTCCAACGTATTTTATAATCTGAGAGCCACTCACGACTTTTCAAAATATTTTAAACCAGTGACCTATCACAATAATAACAATATATAATTATGATGGACAGATGTCGTAGTCATCGATTCTGATAATTGGTAATCGTCATTTTTAAAAGCCTCAATGAAATCTATCAAAGAAGCAAACTGCTTTATATTTTGCTTATCAATATAATGTAATTAGTTTTAAAAATACAATTATTAATGATATTCACATTCTCTCACTTGAATTGATGCCTAACACAGACAAATTAATCTCGCAGACAAATTAATGCTTTTGCTGCTGTAGACGTACTTATATGTCATTGTGAAATTTACATTGCCCGCTGTCGACAAAACACCATGAAATGTCAGTTTATAACACAAATGTTAGTTTTGTGTTATAAACAAACTAACGGTTAGTGGTATTTTTAAACCAGCGTAGACATATTAGGGTACAATACGATCTGTGTTGTGGCATATTTTTTTATCAATTCAGCCCAAGCAAGTCGATAATGCCACTAAGACGCAAGGGGTTACTAAGTATGAAAGAGAATGAGAAGAATTTAGAAGGAACCGGAAACCCAATCCTAAAAAAGAAACAAGAGATAACCCTCTACTCTATTATTCCTGTCAGCATTTTTGAATCATTTATTTCTAGTAAATGGCAACTTTTTATCTATCCCAAAACAGGCCAGTACAGTTAAGCAACAATGCTATAACAATGTAGCAGCAAAAGTATTAATTTCGTTCTCACTGAATGAATCACTCCTGTGGCATTGTTACAGGATTAAATTTGATAAACACTAACTTGAATACTATCTATATATCCTAATATGGATGGCTATCGTAATGTGATATTAACAATTCCGTCAAGCAGTTTATAGATTCCTAGTCTAAATTTGTTACTCTCGTAATGCCAAAAGTTAATCTAAACTTAATAAATAATTACATCTTTTTTTTTTAGAATATTTTAGCTATTTTAAGGATATTGATAGGGAGCTTAGCTAATTTCCGTTGCAGACAACTGTTCAGGCATATTTGTGTTTCCTCGACACTTGCAGATCCAATATGTGGCTTGTACTGCAAATATACTGAGAGGACTTTATCTACGGTCTTTTGAAAGAGAACGCATAATTTGTGGTGATCAACAGTTGAACTTGATCACGATGACTTGTTACTTCATGCGAACACAACCATCGACAGGTTCCGAATAGTTTCGTCAAGCCAATATCATTTAAAAGACTTTGGTTAAATGTGGCATGGTTTTCATGTACATTCCAAAAGTGTCACACACAGGAATAGTTATCTCAGGCAATATTATTAATTCGGGTCTCATAGTCGGAGAGCTGAAATTCTAAACACTCGATCACGCGTTAAATTAATAGGTCAGAATCTATCTAAGATATAAATCAAGTGTGGGAAAAGTTTTCTAGCGTTTGTCTTTATTATTAAAAAAAAAACCTTTTCCCTACTATGCATTCAGTCTAGTTAAATCTTTACACACACATTATATGTATCAAGAAAAGGTAAGGAGTTATTTGTTTCTTTTTTTTTATATATGTGAATGTAATTGTAGGTTCAAATTTTGTCTCCGAAATAAAATTTTGTCTCCGAAATAAAATTTTGTCTCGACATTATGTCTAATGTTAGCCTTTTAGATGACTTTTGTACATACATTTATTGTTCATCGGACAGTTCATGTCTTTTCAACAATTACACCTTTTTTCTGTGTTAATATTGTTATTGGTGTTGCTTAAGTTATTCGGTTCCACAGCCAACTGAAAACAAGATTTTATCATCATAAAATGACTCTTAACAATAAGCAATATGCAAATGCAACGGCACTCTCATAATTTTACTAGTATATTAAAACAGATGACTATACACGGGTAGTAAATTAGAATTTCGTCGCCAAAACTACACTCTTTTCCGCCCGCGTTGAACGATGCAACCTGTGTTCGCTGGAAAAAAAAGATTCATTCTCAAAAATGTTAATGACCAAAATCTACTTAATAAACGAAATGAACTCATGTTAGTTTATAATCACAGAAAAAATTCTCTTAAATTTTTTTAATTCTGGATAAGTATATTATCCAAATATCACATGTACTTCTCATACTTTAGGTTACATATTAATCACCCCCACTTTAACCATTTTAACGTCTGTTATTACTTAACGAGTTACCGGGCGTTCCTCTTTTAAACTTTAAGCTTGTCTTTTTTTTTCTTTTTTTTTTTACAATAGCCCCACTACCTATATCTACAGTTTCAATTTACACCCCAATATTATATTTAAATTTACAATCCAATATTATATTTAAATTTACACCCCAATATTATATTAAGTTTCTATTAAATTTGAGCTTTGAATCTGCATTTAACATAGCGCTCCTCCCATGAGACCCAGTATATATTTTTTTAAATGAGAAGTAATAATTCATGTTTCATGAGTTGGTAGAACAACGAAACTTTAAGTTGCACTTCGAACGTAGTATATATATATATATATATATATATATATATATATATATATATATATATATATATATATAAGGTTTCGTCAGGTAGTAGAGTACTTCAATTTGTGAATTGTATATCAAACGCTTTTAACCGTTTCTTGGTCATATTTAATTCTGACCAACAACTTTTAACTGTTATGTATGTATGTTGAAAAAATCGTTCAGTTATTTTTTTTCAGTTCAAGTTTCATTCATATTGACATTCAGAGAAACGTGAAGCAGTTGTTTTTTTTGTTTTTTTTGGGTCACTGAAAATGAAGAGACGCGTTTAAACGAAACACAGTAGACACACTTAGTGTAGTTCAATTCTATCATTTTCTTTCTCTCTATTTTCCTTTTGTGTAAGGACGGCATTTATAGCGGCTCGTGCCAGGAAGTTTTTAGATATAATTTAGTATTGCTTTTAGAACGGAAAGGGATTCAATTCACAAGTTCCCTTGCTTTTCTTCTTTTCCTCTCCATACCCGATCGAGTTTTCACTCAAAAACATATGTCGATCGTGGCAAGCTGGTGATCTAATTTTTTTCCAGCCTAAACGCATTAACGGTGACGTGAGTGAAAGGAGAAAAACACATACCTGGTTGTTGTTGTTGTTGTTGTTGAACAAACACTTTAGGTAAGATAAAATGTATCTTTTTTTTCTTAGACGGAATTGTGTAAAAGTTTAAATGCATTCACTAACCTTGGTCGTGGTGTTGGTAATACTAATAGTAGCAGTGGCAACTAAATTTTGCCAGAGGACTTGAGGCAAGTTAAAAGTAGCAATGACCCGGCGTTGCCACGGCATTGACAAATAAGACATGACCCTCGTATTTTCTTCGCTGCCTTAAAGTTTTAATTTTATTTGTGAAAACATTTATTATGAAATATTAAGACATTGTTTTTAATTTTATTATTAACGCATCGAAGACGATAAGAAGGCATTTTGCTCTGAAGTTTTTGAAACTAAGGGATAAATATATTTACTGTAAGGATGTGTCATCACTATAATTATAAAACGCTTAAGGCCGAAAAGCAGCAGCTGACAAAGAGAACAGCTCACTATCATTCATTAATTGATATTACTTAAGTTTCTAGAAGCATGGCATTAAATTTGTGCCGTGTCCGTTCAAGACATTGGCGATCATGACTCACCGTAACATTCTATTCTTTGTAGCTTTTCACAATTCTTGACCTCCCATGCCCTATTCTGCTATCCATTTGCACAAGTACGTTAGGCAAGTTACTCGCCGTTTCATTCTGTCACACTTGCCTTCAATATGTCTTGTGAGTGTCAACGTTTCCAAGCCGTCTTTCCTCATGTATGACAAAAAATATCAACTGTCTCTTTTTGATTCTAAGTATTAGCATCCTTTTTGTTTCCATTTTTCGTTGCTTACATACAACGTCCATGGTATTCTCAACATCCTTTTGTACAACCATATCTGTTGCCTCAAGAATGTTGTCCAACATTCATGGCAATATAGGATGATTGATATCACATCGCAATTTAGCACACTTTTCTTTCGTTTTAATGAAATTCTCCTGTTTTTTAACACTTTTGGAAGGCATCTTTTGCTATACGAATAGGCCTTCGGATTTTGGTATGATATTTTCCGTCATCTTCCCAGATATTTAAGTTTTAAATCTGCAGGTGCATTTAACTGTGTAGAAATTTTGAAGTGAAGAGAATAAAATATTTCGAAAGCAGCATTTGCTAACTGATTCTACTAATTCAACACGCAAACTTTATCAAAACTTTGAAAGAAAAAAAAGCTAATATTGTTTTCTTGGGTTATGTAAACATGATTTGGCGTCGTTTTAAAATCAATCCTAAAAAAAATATCTAATTGAGATACTTGTTTATCATATTTCTGCATTAAAAGTTGACTCTCCTATCGGCAAACTTATCTAATCAGTAGTATTCGAAAACTAGTGTCGCCGAACATAGATAGCGATGTTGTTCCCCATCATATATTCCGTGACGATAATTTCATGCCGGAGAAAGTTAAGTGCCAATTGCAGAAAACTGCGCTTCATATATATATATATATATATATATATATATATATATATATATATATGTAGTAGTCCGTTGTTATAATTCGGACAATATATAATTTGAAATATGTTAAAAATGACACACAATGTTTATTTTCATTAAACAGAGCAAAATTTTCTTTACAATTGGAATTAAGATGTCTTTAGTTAATGACCATTTTCACCTACGAACTTTAATTTTAAAATTTATAGGATTTTTTTCAAACTGTTTACAATATCAGTTTGTAGTGGAATCTACAAACTGATATCGTGAACAGTTTGAAAAAAATCAAATTTTAAAATTAAAAAGTAACAAAAAATGGTCATTAAAAAGGTATCTTAATTCCAATTAAAAAAATATATATATATATATATATATATATATATATATATGTGTGTGTGTGTGTGTGTGTGTGTGTGTGTGTGCGGTGAGGGAGAGAGAGAGAGGTGGGAAAAAAAGAGAGCTTAGTAAAGATACTGCATAAGGCTGCAACTATGAGGTACAGATGAGGATTGAACATGCTACGCTCGTTAACTGGTCTGGCAGCTTAGACATCACCACTCTTAGGTAGGCGCCCAATATGCATATTTACCACGCTAAGATTCGTCTCGTTCAAGGCTAAATGGTTTTAGTAAATTTGTCTTGTCACACTTGAAGAGAACCTGAATATATGCCTTGAAAATCGGCATTTGATATTTTGACTTTTAAACACGAATCACTGGTGCTGGTTGGAAATGTGCAGCAACTTCCTGGCCAAGCATGTCGAAAATTTAGTTTTGAATGAAAGAAAGAACTGAAGATAGAAGTGGAGACAGAGAGAATCAGATTAAGTTGATAAGAACAGATGCTACACTTTGATCTTATTATTTATTAGCACCAAAATACACAAAATGTACCACAAGAGCTAAAAAAATGGGGGAAGACTGGTTTTCTCTAATATTTATTTAATGTGCGTGTTAAATCCCGTAAAATGTTCTTTCACACCAAAGATATACGCACCCATGATTAACAATCATTCTTATAACAAAAACAAAATAGAAAATTTAAATGTAAATATTAAGTTCTTGAAACTATTTATAAACAAGAAACAATAAATTTATCTCCTCTAGTATTTTTTTCCATTTTAACTTCGGTAGCTTTTTATTACAACGCACAGATCATTCAACATTTATTTCCTATTTACTAACGGCCGTAGAATGACGACCTGTAAGTTGTGATAAAAAAAAAAACTAAAATTAAAATGAAAGAAATATTTGAAAAAATAATAATAGCAGACAATGCTTCATCTACGAAATTAAAAAAATATTATAGATATGTAATAGCCATGCTTTAGCATTGATGATGTAGTTTTTGGAGGGTGACTTTACTAAGTAATAAGTTTGATTCTCACTAGGTGCTGCATTCGTGCGTTAAACTAAACTGAGCTGAAATAATAGCCTGCTGGTGGCCTGCCTCAGGCAGTTATGAATTTCCATTAGGTGCCAGAGATCGGTTTTCTAGTTCTTGTAAAATCTTGGATTTCGAATGTTGATTTTAAAGGTAGGCAAAAAGTCCCCAATTTTCGTAGAGCCTATTTTGATTTTTTACTGTACGACTTAACTAAGTATATCAAGTAAAAAACTGACTGCTGAATACAAGTAATGTATTTTATTTGACTGAAAGAAATTCACTGATAAGGGCTAAGTCTATATACTAAAACAAGAAATGCAACAGTTATATTCTTATTTCTAAGGTACAAACAAAACCCAAAAGTAATGTCAATCTTTTAAAATGCCAGCGATCTATTACAAAGAAAACCAAATAAAATATTTAGTACTCACTTTTTCCCCTGTCCGTCTTCCTTCTCATTCTTTCTTATTATTCGCTCCAACTAAGCTCTTCACCAATCCTTGGGGTCCGTTACGCGAGAGTAACAATCATTTATATCACCTTTTTTAGTTCAACATATCAAAGTTGTGCAACCTCGTTCTGAAACAGAAAAAAAAAAAAAATCAAATATCATGCCCACCTTCTTTTCATGGGGATAGCTTTGTAAGTACGTGATTGTGATAGGGTAATTCAGTTAACACATTAACTGTCAACCGTAGCATGATTTTTATCGAAGTCATTTTGTCGATCATTTCACTGGAGAAGTGAATTTCACCTTCATTTGGGTGCTACATTATTTTACTATTTTAACAATGTTTAGCAAATGACCATTAAATATTTTCCAGGTATTCTCTTGTTCATCCTTTTTAACATTTGTAAACCACATCATTTATATGTAGATATTTAATAATTAATAAAATTAAATGCGAGACAAGCATGTTGCCCACGCCTATGCGACTGTTGTTATATTTATCTGGCTTAGCTTAGCCTGGCGCAAGGTTACAAGTTTAGAGAACTTACTGAGGTCCGAAATTAATACAATGGTAAATATTTAGGAGATTAATTTGCATATTACTACATCACAGCCTTCTTCATACAATATATATATATATATATATATATATATATATATGAATAAAAACAGACCACTTTAAGGTTCCATGTAATAAATTATTTCACCATAACCCTTTTAAAGGGCTCTGGATCATCAGACTTTACTTCCAAAGAGTGAAATGAAATGAAATTGATTTTTCACTGAAATGATTTTTCGATTCAACCTTTGGAAGTAAAGTCTGATGATCAGAAAAAAAGGGCTATGGTGAAATAATTTATTACATGGAACCTTAAAGTGGTCTGTTTTTATTCAAATTTATTTGCTCTGAATTTACATTGAGCACTCTGGATATCATCCTCCTTGGGTCTACCCATACGGATTACCTAGTTTTGCATAAACTATATATATATATATATATATATATATATATATATGTTGTAACCTAGGGAAGGTTACTGAATAGAATAATCACACGAAGGTTGGTAATGAACGATAATACTTAGGAAAAGAACAACACATATAAGATTCACCAGGATATAGAGAGTTTGACCAGCACAGCTGGAGAAGAATCTCCAACTGAAGACCAACATACAGTATTTACTACTCTATTTATGTGAATGGGGACATACCCATTATCGTCCGTAGGTATGCTACAACAATATATATATATATATATATATATATATATATATATATATATATATCAAATTCCTTACTCTCCAATTGTGGAGTATTGGGTAATAAGCCTGATACTGTGGTTTATATAGCAACTAGGTTTTCATGGGATAGAGTTGCTAGCTTTATGCCCAGCCGGTCTGGAATTCAGAGTTGTCCTTCATTCTGCTTCTGAAAAAAACAGTCTGACTTACTATTTAACCCATAGATGGTGGGGAGTGTTGAATTCATATCTTTCTACAAAGACACTAGAAATCGAACTTGATTCGCCGATTTCTCGTTTCGAGACGCTGCACCACTCGCACATCTTCATACAGTTTATTAAAACGGAAAAATCAGCTGGTCTTCTTACGAAAATGGCATTGTGCAAAGTGCAATATGTTTACCTCTCTAATTTGTCTCGTCTACATACAGTTTCCACTTGCATGATTGGCGTAACACAGTCCTTTTATCGTCATTTCACCGTCATATTGCAATCATTTACTCTTCTTGCTCGATAAATCAATACACGTAAATATTCCCGTTTGTGTAGCAATATAAAAATACATTGCTGAAATTTAATTTATACGTTAATCGTTTTTTTTTTCTTCCAGATTTAGTGAAACTCTCGCGATGTATCGACAAACAGTAAGTATATAAATATTCTTGAATTTTTTAAAGAGCTACTTATTAAAGTTAGTTTTATCGCGTTTTGTTGAGAATCTTTTAAAATAGAATAGACCCCACTTAGCAACATTCCTGCTTTGGTAACATACTGGACACCATCGACAAGTCGTTATAGTGGCTTTATCAGTTTGTTATAAAAAGCAGCATTCTACAAAAGGTTTTTTATTTGTTTTTTTATTTTTACTCTTCAACATGTTTTAAACGTTTTATTATGATATTTATAAGCACTCTCGGTTTAATTCGCTGTAATTTATTTATTCATTTTAATCGTATAAACGAGGTTTTTTAGTTTTTCTTCTTTTTTTTCTTTTTTTTATGACCGAATTTTTCTTATCTCTGTAAATAGTAATTATTAGCTGGTGATATGAAACTTGATGGGAAGTGGGTAAAAACGGAAAACAAAATTACCTTCTAAGTATCCAATGAAAGGGTGTCCACTCAAAAATGAAAAAAAAATGGAAAAATTCTCCGTATACAACTTAAATAATGTTCACACCATTGTGATTGGCTATTGGTCATCCTCCAATCAAATGCGTGAAAACGGGGTATATTTATAGAAGTCAGTGTCTACAAGCATTTTTTAGAGGGCGTATCAGAGTCTGATCAGCCCTGATGGGGTCGACTTGGTGAGATCAGTATGATGTTTGAAAGACCCGAAACCTGCCCAATGATCCAAATCAGAACATCACTGACGACGCCCTCTAGCGCTAAAGAGCGTATATTCAAAGCAGTGAGAAATGCAAATTTGGCTTGAGAAAATGGAAGAAGGTATAAAGAGTGACTTGGAGGAGAGAGTAAATTGAAACAACTCTTGGCAACAGCAGCAACCATGGTTGCAAGCATATTAACATGCATTGGTTTTTACAAGCATTTATAATATTGGTCTTTTCATCTGCATAATGGAAGAAAAAATTTCTTGAAATAAATGATCAAAGGTTTTTTTTTTCTATCTACAGCAAACAGCTTTTATCTTAAACTAGCATTAGAGCCCGGCGTTGCCCGGGGATGTAACAGTAAGAGATAGATCAAGTATCGACCATCATAAAGACTGAAAAAATAAAATTGACAAAGATTATTGTTTAAGGTTGACGGACACGCATGTCTTGATTAGTTTTTTTTTTTTTTTTTTTTTTACGAATTGGTCAAACCCAAACTCAAACAAAAACATTGTTTTCAATCGTTATGAGTCTACCGATTGAATAGAATTTTATTATAAACAATTGTCTTGTAAATGGAATTTTTAAAGCATTCTGAATGTAAAAATAAAGAAAAAACTGTGCAAGACAATAAGAAACGCTACCTGCCAAAAAAAAAAAGTGAAGTTTTGTTGAAATCGGTTGAAAAATGTAGGAAATCCGATCCCATATATAAACGAACACACACACACACACACACACAAACAACCTGGGTTTTATAAGTATAACTCGATGAGTTGTCCCCCTTTCATTCTCGCGATTATTTTCTTAATCGTGTTTTCAAATTGATTTCGTGAAAAAACAATTGTGTTTTTCAATTTTTAGCGCTGTCAGAACCACCGCAGGGTAATTTTAAGTAGTCCTGTGAAGTTTTGTTGAAATCGGTTGAAAAATGTAAGAAATCCGATCCAATATATAAACGTACAGACACACACACACACACACACACACACACACACACACACACACACACACAACCTGGGATTTATAATAAGTATGATATGATATCTTGTCCACAATCAAAAATAGCGAAAAAAAAAAAAAACTTAAAATCTAAGGATTTAAAAAAAAAAAGAAACTTTGTGTTTGGTGTGTTTACAATGATTCTTCTTTTATGTGCGAGGCCCCTTCAAGACATTAGCAATCATGGCTCTCCACAATATCCTGTCCTTTGTAGCTCTTTTTGCTATCTCTCCCAAACCCTGTCTTACCATCCATTTACACAAGCTCATTAGGTAGGCTATGCACTGTTTTCTTCTGTTCCTCTGTTTTTTCAATATGTCCTCTAACTGCCAAATTTTCCAAGCTGTCTTTATATGAATTTTATATATCAGAACCATGGTGGGTAATTGAATGAAAATGAAAATTGGAAAAAAAAAAATCCTATGTAACGTGTTTTGTTCTTCAAAAGGACGTTTCTCTCGATGTTTAATAATAATCAATGTTTGCTTATATTTTCGTTCCCTTCCGCTACATATATATAATTCCATAAAAATATTATTTAATCTGAAGAAGTCTTTTTGATATACGAAACGCATTACAGATGATTTTTTTTTCTATTTTATCATTACACCATTACACTGTGTAGCTCAAGTAACATTGTTTAATGGCAAACAACCTCAGTGGTTGAGTTTACAAATAGTTAATGCCTAACATCACAACAGTAAATAAAATCAATGCATATATCCTCAATACTCTGACTTGAGAATGACGATATTAAATATTTGTCAAAATAGATTGTTAGCATAAAGGAACTACTTGATACGTTTTACTTGCTTTTTAAAACAGTTGAATTCTTACAAGACTCCAAGACTTCTGTTCTCTATCATGAATGAAAAACCATGGAACGTGACATTTCACACTTATCGGTTGTATTCACAAGGTTTAAGGATGTTATTTTGCAACCGCAAGGAAATGCAGTTAACTTTATCAGTCAAATTAAGCTTCTTCTCGTTTATCGAAATGTAACACAGCATATCATGAGCATTTCGAGCCTATCTGGAGAAAAGAAGAAATTGGAGAAATAAAAGAATATACTCGACAATATCCTTCAAGTGTATTGTGTCCACCTGGATGAGGCATGTTTGGCAAATTTCTCTTCAAAATGATATTTACACTACCGCTGCTGTCAACGTACTTATACATCTTTAGGAAACTTACACAGCCCGCTGTTGACATAGGAAAAGTTCAAAGGTTGACTATGAAGAAGTGATGCTAGAGTTGTGAAATCTTGCATGCATTCATTTAACCTCTTCTTGTTAATAATTGCATTATTTATTTCCAGTTAAACGGACATCTGACTGTTCAAAGAAGACTTCAAAAGTAACTAGTTGCGACTTCTCTTGAAAATGGACAAAAATTGGCATCGTGGTGTTATCAAGTATCTACAGAAAAAGGGTTTAATCCCTAAGGATATTCATACTGACATGGTTACTACATTAGTGGATGACACCCCAGATTTATCAACAGTGCAAAAGTCGGCAGCTGAATTTAGGAGGGGTAGTGAAGTGATGGTTGACAGGCGAGTGACTATAAATTAAATAGTCAATACTATTAATATATCTCGTTAGAGGGTTGTATTATAAACAAACTAGCACTTAGTACTATTTCCAGACCCCGTCTAGGCTTATAGTAACGTACAGTACGACGTGTTTTGTGATGTATTTTTATTATATTTTGTGTTGTTGTGTCGTTTACCTTAGTCCTGTATTGCAAAATGCCTGATCGAAACCAAAATAGTAGGGCCCATGAGAAATTGTGGGGTTTACGTGGAAGTTATGTGTTTACGGGGGGTTATCTTTGGATAACGTCTTTAATCTAAATATACACCAAGGTTTGGACTTTTAAAAATGCATGCAAAGGTAATTAGTACAAAGATATATTTTCCATGTATTAATAAAATTTTATATCCCTTAACACTAGGATGTCCGGCTCTTTTGACTTCTTTATTTACATTACGCTGTGAAGCAGCCATCTCTAATATATTCAATATTCAAGTCAGGAATAACAAGTCTGAAAAGAAATTCCCAAATATTAGTATACCTCATACTGAAAGAAAGTGATTATATATATATATATATATATATATATATATATATATATATATATATATATAGATATGATGTGATAGATAGATAGATAGATAGATAGATAGATAGATAGATAGATAGGGGACATAAACACAAGTATTATTGCTTGTGAGAAATTTTTCAATGCATTTACCCTATAAATAGCCTAGGTGTCAAAAATGACACCTCGGCCATTAAAGGTAAAACCTCAAATATCAGCTATTCCACTGAATATTTTTAAAGAATTAAGTCTGTTAAGCATCTTTGCTAAAATTCAATAATTGTCCAAAGCCTCAGCCTAGAACCAAAACTAGTTATTCCATAGTAATTTGTTGAAAATGTGAAGGTGTCGAAAACGACACCTCGGCCATCCTAAAACATATTATATACAAGGAATGCTGAAGGCAAGACGGCCGAAGAAAACACCTTCCTAGAGAGCTTGTAAAAATGGATGGCAAAACAGGGAGTGGGAAGGATAGTAAAAAGGTAACCTTGTTAAGAGCTACAAAGAATAAGTAGTTTTGGAGAGCCATGATCGCCCACGTCCTGAAGAGACACAACATATAGAAGAAGAAGTTTTCGATAAAATAATTTATGTCTATCTGTTATATTTAAGATAGCATTATGTAGAGTTATCAAATTTAATTACTTGTATAAAGCCCTTGGATGATCATTTTTCCTTGACTCAAAGAGAGAGAAATCTAATTGGTTCAATTTATTGTCCATTCTCGTATATTCCAAGTTAGTTTTGTTTGCTTCTTTCCAATGAAGGTTGTCACTGCAGCAGAGTATGACTCAAATAAAGAAAAAAAAGATAATATTTTCTAAAAAGAAAACGACACTAAATGGAGACATTTTCCGGATATCACCAGAATGTTTTCTCAGTTGTCGAATGGTGCTGCCGCCGAGGTAAAATTACACTCGAGTAGTTAATTTGATTGACCATTTGCCCTTCCCGCTTCAATATTTTTTTTAGTCTGTAGACATAAATGTCCAAACGTATTTCTTTTTTCTTTCTATTTATCTTAGACTGTTTCATCTTCATTTCCTGGTTCTGTAGTTTTGCTATCTGCCTGCTTTAGTTCCATAAAAGCATCAGGCGCAGACGTTATATTTTCTGACATGTGCACATCCTAATTCATTCTTCCGTTTTTCTTTTTCTTTTTATCATCTCCTTCGACCGTTGCTTCCTTAACTGCACTAATTAAGTACTCCTTGATTGAGGGGAAAATTAACACGACTTCTGATGAAGAGTGGTGGGGATATAACCAAGTCCGGACCCCAGAGAAAGAGCTGGCCCTCACCGAGGTAAGACTATTTTATTTTATTAAAGCAAGTAAAACTATTTTCATTTACTTTTATTCTCTTGATACTTTGGTATTTTATTATGTTCAAACATGTTATTAAATTTTTTAAAAGAGAAAAAGTAACTCGTAGCTAAAAAGGAATATTTTCAAAAGGCTATGAAATTGCCGAATTCTTAAAATCTAATTATTTTATTTTATTTTATTTTTTTTTTCCACATTTTCAACCGGTTAATTTAATATTTTGTCATGTTAGATTATTAGACCTTTTTATTATTTATTTTTTTATATATATATATATATATATTATATATATATTTATATTTATATATATATATATATATATATATTTTATTTATTTATTTATATATATAATTTTATTTATATTACACACACACACACGTATATATATAATTTTATTTATATTACACACATATATATATATATATAATTTTATTTATATTACACACACACACACACATATATATATATATATATATATATTTATATAATTTGTTTATATTTACACACACACATATATATATATATATATATATATATATATATATATGTATGTATGTATAAATTTTTTAACTTTTATTATCTCGGTTGGAATTTATTCGATGCTTATTCAAAAGATCCAGCGATTATTTTATTACAAAAAAAACTGTTTCCCATTGCATCTATGTATATAATACAATATATAAATATAATACAATATATAAATATAGTTTCCAATAAAAGAGGATTCTGGGAACTTTTGCACATATCTAATAGAAATCATTTTACCCATTTTGTTTTTTGTTTTTTTTGCGATTAAAATTAAGCATATGGAATATAATTTTTCGAAGGAAACTGTGAGGTCGAAGAAGTATCAGGGTAAATGGCGTGTTATCGTTAAGGGACGTCAAGGTCAGTGATTGTAACATTTTAAGGGGAAAACAGAGACAATCAGTACTTTCCCCACCCCTAATGTCGTATTTTCTTTAGTGAATCGAAAGGTGTTGGTCTTCATCGCTAATTAATAGACACTCAGAGAGTATATGAATCTAGCATGCAATGGGTGGTATATTGTACCAAGCCTGGGTATTCAAAAGAGGCCCCGGAACATAAAACCATAATGCATAAAAACAGGTCGATCGAAAAAGTTTGAAGATGAAGAATTGGAGGGCATTATTACATGTAGCCTCATGTCAGGCGCAAGTTGAATTTTCAGAATCATTAGGAGTTGATCACACAACAGTTTCGAAACGTTTGAAAGCATTAGGAATGATTCAAAAGCAAGGACATTGGGTGCCGTACGAGTTGAAGCCGAGAAAAGTCGAACGGCGTCTTGTCACGTGTAAACAGCTGTTTTAACAGCAGAAAAGGAAAGGTTTTTGCATTGTATCGTAACCGGCGATGAAAAGTGGAGACACTACGATAACCCTAAACTTAGAAGATCGCGGGGTAAGCCCGGCCATACATCAACATCAGTGACAAAGCCGAATATCCATGGTTCGAAGCTTCTACTCTGCATTTGGTGGGATTAGATGGGTGTAGTTTATTATCTGCTCAAACCAACCGAAACCTTCACGGGAGAGCGCTATCGACTACAACTGATGCGTTTCAGTCGAGCATTGAAGAAAAAACGACCGATATGCAAGCAGGGACACGACAGAGTGATTTTGCAACATGACAACGCTAGACCATATGTTGCAAAACGAGTGAAAACCGACTTGTAAACGCTTAAATGGGAAGTCTTACCAAACCCGCACTATTCACCAGACATTGCCCCAACCGATTATCACTTGTTACGATCGATGGGACATGGCCTGGCTGTTCAGCACTTTCATTCTTATGAAGATGCCAAAAAATGGGTTGATTCGTGGTTAGTCCCAAAAGACGTGTCTTTTTTCCGGGGTGTAATTCAAATACTGCCAGAAAGATGGGGAAAAGTAGTGGCTAGCGATGGACAATACATGCAGTGACATGTTTCTTACTAATTTTTGTAAATAAAACATTCCTTTTCATGAAAAATCAGCGACAACCTATTCAAGATCCTTATATATATATATATATATATAGGATATTACATCGAAAACGTCAAAATCGCTACCTACTTGCAGTCGTATTTCGATGCGTATCAAATACATCTCATCAGGTGATTGTAAATTACTGGCCAGTGAACGATTTACTTAGATTTAAAATCAAAATATAACCTCTTTTTTCATATATATATATATATATATATATATATATATATATATATATATATATATATACTAGTATAGTAACATCCAAATCTCAAGTTTTAAAAATTTTAATTAAAAACATTGGAATACTTCCAATGAAAGAAGTCAATAGATTGGAGAAACAGTCGATTGTTTGATTTATTGTATGCAACTGCTGGGACAAAGTCCTGTTGATCAATGTTCTGATACAATTTTTCAAAAGTCAGGACTCTGTCTTTTTTTAGAAAATTTGCCAACTCATCATTTTGCACATTTCGCACAGAAACAGAAGTTTTATGTGTTGGTTTTGGTTGAGGGCAAGGTAATACACTTATGTTATATGAGCAAATATTGATATTGGATTTCTAGGTCGTACTTTTCTTGTAATGACCATTGTTTTATAATCAGATGGAATAACAACAGTGTTTGGTTTGTCGGGAGGAGTCACGAAATATTGTCTTTAACCATCGTTCTGGCTCATTTTGAGGAAGATAAAATACGCATGCCTTATTTTGTTAATCATAGTTACCACGACACACATATTGCACAGCACTTTTTGACCATTTTGAGAAAGATTTTGAAGTATTGAAATTAAAAGATATTAACTAAACTATTATTTTGTAAAAATTATATGGTGCTTCTAAAAAGTGTATGAACCTTATATTCTAATATCTGGAGGGTTGAGGATTCAGAATTAGGAATTTAAAGTTTGTCTGAATGTGGGAATTTGTCATCTTTTTCTTGTGTTACTTTCCGTTGTCTTTAAGGAATTACTTGGTTCCAAAGGATTTCCAAATTGTTTCACTGGTCAGGATCCGTTTTATGTTAAAGTTACATAGTGAACTGAACCTCCCTCATTAGAATGTTTGGATAATCGTATTTTACGGGGGTGGGTGCGGATTAATCACCTCCTCCCCTATAAAATACAATTATCTAAGCAAAATTAACCAGTTTAATATCTTTACAGTATATCTTTTAAAAATATTAAACTGGCTACTTAAGTTTTACATTTTTAACAACAACAATACTAGTAAAATCCAACATACAACTTTTTTAAATACCCGTAAATAATTATTATTTAAATCAATATGTTTCTGACTATATCTCTGAGATGAGGTATTATGATTATTTACATTATTTACGTTATTTACATTATTCATACTGTTATCTTCATCTTCATTGCCATATTCTAATCACATGAGGAAGGCCGGAGCATACAACGACCGAAACGTTGTGAATATGGCAATGAAGATGAGGATAGCAGTCCGAATAATGTAAATAATGTAAATAATCAATGTTTGTCATGAAGAATAATATCATAGAAAAAATATTAAATTTTTATTCATATTTTTTCAAATACGCAAATTTCTGTATAGTAATTTTGGGAAATTAGCAGTGCAAAAAGTTACATCCATTTTTTTTTTGTTTTCTTACAAGGACAGTATCAACATACTTTATATGTTATAAAGAAAACAAAAATTATTCCTTAAAAATGAATTTTATAATAAAAATTTTCGTTATTATGAATAATAGCATAAATAAAAAAAATAAATTAACTTTCTGTGAAAAATTCTTAATAACGACATTTTTTGTGAATTTCGCAGTTTAAAACAACGGCAAAATATGTAAAAAAGACGATATTGACAAGACAGTAATGTCTTTTTTGCATTTTTTTGTGGTATATTTTTAAGAAAAGTTGTAAAATTTTAAATTTGTGGAATTCAATTTTTGACATTAACTTTCACAAATTTTCTCATTTTTATTTAATTTCGCAGTGAAAAACGCAATTCTTTTTAATATCTTTTATTTATTCACGTAATTTAACGTACTTTAAAAAAGTAATACCTGTTTCTTCTGTTAAAGAAAAAACTAATTATTCATAAAAAAAATAAATTAATTTTATACTTGATATCGTCATTGTTGAATAACCATAGGGAAAAATATTAAAATTATATTAATTTTGTGATAAAATTCTTAATGACATTTGTGAATTTCGCAATGAAAAAGTTTGATTAAAGTTAAAATATTGGAAGTTCAGTATGTTGGATAATTCAGTATCTTGAATAATAAACTTAATCCAAAGGTAAAAAGTAAAAATTTCTTTAAAAAATTTAATTTCTTAATTCCAATTTTTTCTGTCTAAAATTGTGTGTTAGTCTAAGTATTGATCATATTCTACGCTGCTTCTGGTGTCATAATTCAGCTGTAGTGTCTCTGTATAATTCTAAGTAATGTATTTACTAATCTATTCTTTTCTATTACAAGGTACTATGTTATTTATAGTACTTATTGTTCCTCATGGGTTACGCGTCTCAGTAATAATACTAGACAGGTGATCGCATAGAAACATTAAGTATTGAAAGCTGCCTGTATCCTTGTGATAGACAAAACAAAATCCAATAACATACTCTTGTCTTTACTTGATACTAATACCTTTATTTTCTTCTGTCTCTAACTATAAGTAAAATAGTAGAGCAGACTTAACTCTTTATCTTCATTTGGGCAACTAGTCATGGAATAAAAATGCAGCTATAAATTCAGAGCCATGGAAAAAGGAAACGGGGAAAGCACTGTGGACATTTTCCCAAAAGCTGACATGTCGATTTGAAGACCAAAAACTTGTGAAAGAGGATCGCCTTTCATCCTGAGAGGATATTTTTTCATTTTTTATTTTTATAAATCAATTCTTTGCTAATAAATAATTAATAGAAACTACTCTACAATCGGCATTTAATAAAGCCGGAAGTTTCCCTTCGAAAAGTAGGATGATTATAATATAAACTCTTGTAGT